CCTAACTTCAGCTACGTGTACCTTCTGATGCACCGGAGCTGCAAAGAGCTGCAGCTTTGTAGTTGTTGCCAAGTCATCTTCGGAGGTCGGGACAGGAGCAGTGCAGATCTCAATCGTAGTTCTGGCAGAGGATCTGGAAGAGAGATCCCGCCATCTATTGAAGGAGATTTTCTAGATTCTTCAAAAAAAAAAACGTCAATTGTATTGATACGAAATGATCTTTGTTCTACTTGCAAGGTTCGTCCCGACACCGCTGGGATACCCTGAATGGGTAGCAAAGAAAGAGCTTTGACAACTTAAGCTACTTTGTCGTCAGAAGCCGCGGATCTACTATCTGACTCTGTTAGCGTAGTAAGTAGGTCTCATGGAGTAATCTGTGTTTGCACATCCATATTGCCGATCCAGTTGACACAACCTGTATTTATTTCTATCTAACTTTCCAGAAGGACTGGACAGTTGCATATGCCGTACCCAAGCGCAACTAGTTTAGTGAACGAACTTAATCTTCAGTATCTGGTCTTACTAGTAATTGATGCCTTTAATCATACGATTAGCTTTGATGACTTTGTCCGACTGACAAGCTTACCTACATATCAGAATGCTAAGATTGACACTTCATAATGAAGTGTTTTTTAATTTTGCCTTCATAAACTTGAGGGGAACATTTGGTAGAAAGTGAGGAATTTTCATAAATTTTATACTTAAAAAGTGGGAGTGTAGATGGAATTCACAAAACGGGATAAGAGTGAAACTATTTCTATAAGTATAATATTTCCGTAAGGCCTAGCATGTGCGAACTCCTATATGTTTGAAGAGTTGTACCCTTTTTCCAGTGTTGAAACTTAGTCAATAAGGTCACGATTCTAGAAGCTTTTCGGAATCAAGGTAGTTGCTGGATAGAATGAGACTAGTTTGGTCAGATCTATTTAGCCAATTGGCCTTTACTTAACTGATCACGTCTACTGACAGACAATAACGATCACAATCAATGTACATTTGAATTACGTTTAATTTAAATTAAAATTATGCATGGCATTTGAACGTTGCAGTATATTCTTTTAAGAGGAATAGACTTGCTCGCTATTATGAGACTTGCTGAACATATCTAGGTAACGCTACTTCTATTGTTCTGTTTTTTCTTTCGCATTTCGAAAATGTATTTTTACCATTACAACGATTGGCGTCGTCAGGAAATATGTAATTAGGTATCATACCTTACGCTTGAACCAGTAAGAATCAATTTTGTAGCAATAGCTTTCTGCTAAGCCGGTTATTCGGGCAAGGAAGCTTTTTTTTTTTTTTTTTTTTTTTTTTTTTTTCGGAGGTTGAGGGCAAATGCATTATGCAGACCGGGCATGGGCATGACCAATCTACTCCAATGTCCGGTACTGTGGGACTCTCACCCACTAAACCCTGGACCCCTTGTCAGCTTGGGCCATGGCTCGGTATATTTTTGATATTACTTCGAAACCATGGCTTGCAGGAACGGTCATTTCATCTCCCTTCTCCTTGAACCGTTCCGATCCATCCTCCGTTTTGGCCTTCCTCTTGAGCATTTTCTCTAGCTCTCGAGGGAGGCCGCGCGCTCTGTAGCACTTCTATTTGCGGTTGTTGCGTGTTAGGCCCTCCATTGTTTAGAGTGTGCCCTTCCGCTATTCTCTTACGCCTCTTTCTTTCTAATTGTTCCTTGCTTTTTATCATTTCGTCGAAGAAGGCCGTGACTTTGGCCCAGTTCTTCTTATCCTTGATCATCATGTTCACCATTTCCTTAGTACTGTTCTTTGTTCTTACATCTCTATGTACCTGTTTGTCTCTGACCGCCTTTAATGCCTGGCATTGGATTAGAGTGTGTTCTACTCCATCTTCCGTGCCAGCCTCACAGAGCACGCAGGTGTCCATTTGCGTTTTGCCAATCTTCTTCATGTATGTCTGGAACTGACCGTGTCCCGTCAGAACTTGGCAGGAGTAATACGTTAATTCTCCCTGTTTGCTGCGATACCACCTTCTGACATCTGGTATTAGGTGTCGAGTCCAGCTGCCTGGAGATTCTCCTCCTCCATTCGCGCGTGGGTTTTCCCACTGCTGCTGCCATTTATTCATTGTTTCCTCCCTTGCTCTTGTTTTGTCTGTAGCTTCATTTCTTTGTTTATGTTTCGCTCTCTCTATGGCCAGTAGATCCCATGGTATCATTTGGGCTAGAACCAGGAGTGCTTCGGTTGACACTGTTCTGTATGCTCTGGCTACTCGTATTGCTACTATTCTTTGTGCCGCTAGTAATGTCTCTCTGTTGGCTTTCGTCCTCAGCGCCATTTCTGCCCATACCGACGCTGCGTATAGCGCTGTCGCCTCTGCTACTGAGGCCAGTAGTCTTCGACTGCCCTCCGAGGCTCCTCCCACTCTGGGTAATATTCTCGCCAGATTGAGGGCTGTTCTTTCTGCTTTTTTGGCTGCATGTTTAATATGCTCCCTTCCAGTCATTGCGGTGTCCATTATTACTCCAAGGTACTTTGCTCTCTTTTGGATGCTAATTCGTGTATTACCCAGGTATATTTCTATATTTGTGGCCTTCTTTTTTCCAGTTAAATATATTGCTTCTGTCTTTTCTGCTGCTAGCCTAAGGTGATGTTCTTCCATCCACCGTTCTATGATTTGTAGAGAGTCGTTAGCTTAGGGCAAGGAAGCCTGCCATCGTGAAACCGGACGTATCTTATTCGAACAAATATTCCCGACGAGCTTCGAGCTCTTGGCCTTGAAAAAGGCACATTTACATTGGTAGGGTGCATTGACGTGAGATGCAAGCGGCTAGTAGGTAAATTAGATATTAATCCGAAAAAGGACCAAGCTTCCTTGCGATTAAGATACCTTATTTCGATAAGTACATGAAATATTACTAGGGGGAATGTATTGCTAGAATAAGATTTAAACAACGATTCTGACAGTTGTTGCTCCTCGTAATCTTTTTAGCCACTCAAGGTACCCTCAAGCAAACTCATACTCAACATGGTTGTGAAATACCGATATTATAGCATATTTTTTAGATGAATCGTAAACGACATAGACAAGCCGTAAGGTCCACCGACTATGTGTAGCGCAACATCGTGTCGCTTGGTGCTTGCATGAAGGTGCAAAGCGTATCTTGATACCACTGTTATTAGGAAGAAAAGATGTTTGTAGTTACGTATTTCGCTCCGGAACAACCTGACACTTCAAGGGGATCGAGAGGCATTTGGCGGACAAATAATTGTTGGCCCAAATAATTGAACCCCTCGCTTGGGAGGGCTCCGTCATATGGCTGTCTAGAAGCCTGAGAGGTGTTAGCGCGTGTAAGCCGTAGTCAACCGTATTCGCGTACGTAAAAGTGTTTTCCTTCGTTGATGATAGCTTGTAATTAATTTCGCTTCTACAACCGTTAAACCGCGTAAACAAATAGGCGTCGGTGAATTGCTAAACGAGATACAAAACTGGGTTACATTTTCTTGATGCAATTCTTTCTCACGCGTTTACGCCGGTGTTATATGTTGGTTGTTCTCCTTAAGGAGCACCCCGAGAGGCATATACATGGATACCACGTACACCGTACTCCTACCTGCGAAGATACTAAACCTAAAAATAAATATAGATACGCCAAGGGAATTTTTGAAGATCGTTGCTTTGTGAAGTATAGTCTTTTGAAGAAAGAAATGATTTTTAGCAAAACCTAAGCGAGTGCTATTGGCAAACTGTGTTAACTCAAATGCAATTGTTGAACATTTCATAAAACTTTGACCGCGATGCTTCCAATCCTCAACGAAGACAACCGAGACGGGTTAGGATATTCGCATACGAAAACAGTAGCCGTCTGCATAATAACAACTTGACGTCAAAAAATATTTTTTTTTTACTTTTGTGTACTGGCAACTATCAAATGTTAATTTTAGATTTTTATCTAGCATAGTAAAAAGCGTATGATCGGCCGTTGAGATAACACTATCGGAAGTGCAATATATAGTCAAGGCACTGTGTATACTACGATAAAACCTATCAGATAGTGAAAACTAGTTAATTAATATTTGATTTGGTGCTCTATGGAGGACCAGCTCTAGTGGATGCTTTGTCCGCCTTGTTTTTAATAAATAGCTATGACTCACAAGTATGCTAAAAACGAAATGCGCGAAGATAACAAAGAAGGAACAAAACCAAAAAACAAAGATAACATACTAGATATAGCCATTGCGCCGTTTCTAAAATCATATCAATTTTTCGTCAATATCTACAAAACCATATATTCTTTACCTAATACGTTTGGGTTAAGGAACTTTGTTGTTGCCGTAACTCAAGAAATCGATGGCTTGAGCTCGTCAACTTCATTTCCTAGATCAAATATAGGCTTCGGCATTGGAAAACTGAGAGAAACTAATTTCCCGGCCAAATGCTCAAAGGATTCACAAATACGAAGGATTACAGAGTTCGATTTCACGTTCCTCTGGCATTCTTCTAATAACAGACTGGACGAGCTATGTTTCTGACGATGCCTGTTTGTGGGTGATAGTTAGCTATTTCAGATACTTCACATAAAGGTTCCAGGCACCCTGCATAGCGTCACCTAACAACACTGACAACGGTATCTTACCATCACCCATGAACGCTTAATAGACATGCTCCTGTAAAAGGCTTATGGTAGAGGTGGCTGTAGCTTAACGTATACGTTAGTAAGTTAAATATTAGGGAACTAACAAAAAAAAAAAGTGCAGAGATTGATACTACACCAACAAGTATAAATGTCTATGCACAAGATGGCGGACATTGTTGCTTGCTGTCTGTGGGTACAATTTCAAGCTGACGTAGCAAAAGTCGATCAAGCTTATACAAATTAGCCATTAATAACCATCATACACGACAAGATTGACGGAGACTGATCGAAGCCTACAAAAAGTAAGTTACAGTGCGCGATAAAGGTCTACAAGCTGGAACAATCAAACATTAGTACTAGAAGGTAAAAAGAATAAAAATGCTTGCGCTTAGTTGTTAATGCCTAGATATTTTTATTTTTCTTTCTTGAATTATTTACACATTCAGAACAGAATCACCCATTGTCCTTTTTGACAGCATTCTCTCCAGTTTCGTTTGTCTCTATTTTTTGTTTTTGTTTGTAATGTTCGATGTTCACTCGTTCGCTTGCCCATGAATTCAATTTGTGGTCATAAAGTAATTTTTCATCGCCGTCACCTTTCTACTTATGATGTTTTATGCCTCGTATTTACAGTTTTTCGCTGGCCTTTCCTCTCCAGGTCCCAGTACACATCACATTTTGACCCCGGCTTATTCCCTGTCGTTGGCTCAGATGCCACCTCCAGTATTGCACGTCGTAGCATGTATAGATCGTCTTGGCCTGTTAGCCGTGTCACGTGCGATCTCGTCTTATACTATACTTAAAAGCAAAACTAGATCAGGCTCTCCGTCCGTGTTTGAATCGGCCCTGAGCCGACATCTAATAGACCTTTTACATCGAGTCAGCCTCTGGCCGATCTCAATTGAATCTAGCTCAAAGCTATAGGGCTCTTCACCCAGGCAACCAGTTGAAACTCTAACTACTAACACACGTTTGTAGCATTACGCAGGTAACTTGTCCGTTCCAGGCTGAGTAGATACGCAATTGCTCTGAAAGCACGCTCATTCCCTGTCATATTGTCTGTCATAAGCTGTCATGAGTACCGATTGCGTATTGCATAGTATTATCTATTTGATAATTAACGGGCGGCGTTTCATTCGGTTTCCAAATTTGTCTCCTGTGTACACGACCTCAAACGGGATCTGCGCGGTAGTATACCTGAGCTGTTGAGCCAATGGCCGATCCTTCGCGCCGTGATTGGCAGGTCTTCAGAAAATAAATAATAGACGATTCATTGGGACAGTTTTCAAACAATAAGAATGATAGAAATCATGAAAATGCTCTGTGACCTGCTACATAATCAAATGGCATCGTCTTTTACTGTTCCATCTTAGACGTGTCGAGCGTTCCTTGCTATGAAGTCAAATGAATATTAGTTTTTTAGATTAGCTAGGTTCGACCCAAGCCCACTAAACTAGATAGAGAGTCAGCTTTTCTTTAACACAACGCAGCCGTCGTATGCAACATTAAGTATCAAATCTGAGCTACCATAAAATAGTTACCAAATGTACACGATTGCATTCGTTTCCCATTAGTAAAATCAAGGGTTGTAGTTTACGAACGACAAGTGATCAACCGTCTCCCTAACCAACTATATAATTATTACCATAATTACTAAATACAAGGAAAGCTCAATTAAGTTGCGAGTTTTGCCCCACAGTTATTGCCTTTTCCTGATCGTATCTCCATAGTGGTGGAACAATCCCCTGAAAACGAAGGCTATTTTCTTCGCTCGATACGAAATGGCTGTTTTCATTTTCGCAAGCAGGCTCAATGTCGCAGGGGGCAAATCTCGTCTCGTGGCACCGTATAGCGGGCATGCTTTCCTCTAGAGTATACTCGAGTCATTTTCTGGCACCCGACGATCACCTATTTTGGCGGTCTCCGTTTCGCTTGTGAGTCGTCGAAATCGTCGTCAGAACTGAAACGTTTCAGATGAAAAACAGTGTCCGGAAAGATAATGCCTTACAACAATGCAAACGGCAGACACTTAGGGCCCGTAAATGGGTAATAGAAAAAATATCGTATAGCTTATTCGTGAATAAATTCATTTTGCTCGCATCTTTTTCTCCTATTGTTTCATCACGAATCATTGCAGAAGCCACTCGGTAGTTCTAAACGTAATTTGTAATTTATATATAAGTGTTATTATGCATGAAACATACTGTAAAGTGAAGTATTTTGACTATCACGTGCCACTGGAGTAGTTGGCCAATGATCGCTAGCTCTTAATAGTCAGTTACCAGCGATGTAACTAAAAAAAGTTACAAGTGAGCAAACTTGTTTGTAGGGCTCTGCGCTTTCGTTGATCCGGATGTCATTATACGTACATTGCTTCGTAGAGAGGATTCTTGGTCACGACGTGCGGGCTGCCCTCTTCGCTCGAAAGGCGTTGTGTTGACGCTTTACTCTGCGCAGTGCACGGACTAAGATCAAGCTGGCTGCGTGACATGTATGTCACTTCATTGGGGTTTGTGAATGGCAAACCCCGTACGGTGCCTCCAGGTCCATCATCGATATTGACGCTCATTTGCAGTACTTGTGTCTCATATTCCTTCATCGAAGACTCCGCGTATACGGGTTCATAACGTGGACTTTGAGGTACCGGTGGTACCGGGAAAAGTTTGGGCTTGGGCGGAATTGCAGCTGCCTGCGCGGCCAACTCTTGTTGCTTCAGAAATCTATATGAATTGAAGAAGAATAAAAAACAACATGGAACTTTGTGAATTGCCATGAATATCCAGGAGTGGCCGTAATACTTTCCCCTGCACGTTAGATACGCGCCGTTCTATAGTATTTATATTTCTATTTGCTACGTTAGTAATGAATCTGTCAACCATCCAGGTGAAAAGCTGAAGAGTAGTTATTTGAAATTCACGTAAAGAAATAAGGCAAACCTTTTCCACGCACAACAATGGTATACGATTCCGAAAATGCCGAAAATGAAGATAAGGACGCCAACTCCGATTAGTACCGCTCCTAGATCAGACATCTCGCGAAGGAAGACCATGCTCCGTTTCGCGCCACGGATTTCGATTATCTCAGGTGTTTCCGTTGTAGTTGGCGGAAGCACGACAATTTGTTGACGGACTGCTTTTACATTGATGCCAACATCGTGGTAGAATTGACCCCACATGGCTGTAGCTTGTAGGTCACCCTTAGCAACGAGCGATCGAATTCGACGATCCTTAACGCTAACAGCCTTAAGTGTTTGTGGATCAATGAGATGGAACCAGAGATCGGTACCGCTTCCGTCGTGTTCCACAGTATTATTACGTACGAATTCCATTGGTCCAATAAGATGCACGCCTACAAGCATATGCGATTGCTTTTTGATGATTGATGCCAAACGGTCTTTCATCTTGCGGACCTTCTCTTGCGACATATCGGGCATCACAAGGCATAGCTGGTTATCTCGCGTGAGCAAGTTGATCTGAAGACGTAAATAATGTTTCAAACGCGTCATTGTTGGCGCATTCATAGGTTTGTGCAACACTTCAAGCTAACGATCGATACGCGCTAAACAAAAAAGTTAATCTTTTCATTCTACATACACACACGCGACTTGTCAAGTAGCAAGGCGGAATAAGATACTACAATTGTGTTTGAAATATTTAGAGGATATCGGAAAATATGTCGATATAGATGGCTTACATAAACGTTAACTCTCTGACTGAGAGTAGCTCCCGGGTCAACTGGGTTATCTCGAGCAACTATCTTGAGTTTAATTGGCATAGAATGATTCTGAGCCTCGTCGAAAGCTCTAATTGACGAAATCATGCCGCTGTTAGGATTTATCGTGAAAAATTCGCCCTTGTTCGTTTCCGGAACGATTTCGAAGCTGACACGACCGTTGCCCTCGGAATCCATGTCCTCAGCGGTCACCGTCAATATCTCGTATCCAACAGGACTATCGATAGGTAAAGCGCCAAGGTAACTATTGCCACTAAGATCAGCAATACCAGGAGGTACGATAAATACAGGCCGGTTATCGTTCACGTCACGGATATCAACAGTTAGCTGTGCAGTAAGCCGAGACGCACTGAACACTCCGGCGCTGGCCGCAAGCCGTACAGCCAATTGATATTGTTGAAGGTTCTCGTAGTCGAGCCGAACCTGCTGAGCAACACGAACTTCGCATTCACCTTGAGAGCTCATCTTTGCGTAAAAATGACCTCGTTCATTTCCACTGCTAATGTGGCAATCGATATGAGCACGTGGCGGGCGGTTCACTACCGGTATGGCTTTGAGGAGCGTGTGTTCGGCAACATTTTCGTCTAGCTCCACTTGGAAGTGACCATCAACAAAGCCGATTCCGGAGTCAGGCTGTACAGTGGCCAAATGTTCGACGTAGACGATAAACGACAGGCTGGTACTAAGCGATGGTTCGCCTTGATCGTAGGCCTTTACATCGATGGTGTACTCCGAAGTAGGTTCCTTCTTTAAGTCGTCTTTAACAGTGACCATACCAGAGTTTGAATCGATTGTAAAGAAATTCAATGCTCGCCCTTGACCGATAAGCTCGTACCTGTAATAATAATAATGATCATTCTAACACATTGGTCAGACGACGTTCGTAGGCGTCTGATGGACTAAGGGACGATCTAGCGCGATAGCAGGAGTAAAAATTCAGGTTTTTCACATCTGTTACTTAGTCTTGAGGTGGTAAAAGATTATTATTAAATGATACTATTTTAAATATACGTAACTTATTTTTATCAACACGACTGAGTACACACCTACAATTTATGACTTAAACAAGGCTAATAGATATAGCAATGCATTATAAAGGTCCCGAAATTATAACTTGCTTGGACTTACTTGACAACGTTTAGAGGCACCGTGCCATCTTCGTCGTTCGCGACCATCGTGGCAACCATTGTGCCCACAGGGGCAGAATCCTGCAGGCGTGTTGGCAGTGGTGGGGTCACAAATTTAGGGGCATTATCATTGACGTCGACCACAATCACCTTGATTGTGGCCGTGGACTTAGGGTCATTTTCATTTTGATTCTCAAGTGTACCGACCACTAGGGTGTGAAGGGATGCTATTTCAAAGTCGAGTCCCTTGAGTGTTGATATCATTCCTGTCACTGAATTAATGCTGAAGAGCCGCCTATCGCCTTCTTTGATAACATAAGTTATTTGTTTCTCTGTGTCAGGATCCACCGCTTCAATCTGAGAATGAGTAAGGCATAAATTGTTAAACAATAGTAATTTAAGATTGTAGTTAGAGATAGTTATTGCCTTTCAGATACGTTCAGTGCTCAAGGAGTATAAAATACGTGTGCATGTGAAATTTATTGCAGGCATATATTTATCAGGCCGTTATGTGTAATAAAATGGTTCGTGGATTATAAGAACCTCTAATTATTTTGGTCGGTCTTTTTAATAATATTGAATTGAAAGTTCCCAACCTTTATGAGAGAAGTATTGGGCATATTCTCCTTAATATCAACTTCGTAGAAATTTTTCTCAAAGATTGGCACTTCATCCTGTTCATCCTGAACACGAACTCGAACCTCAACCTTGGCGCTTAGCATATTTTCACCGCGGTCAGTGGCCGTGACAACCATAACAAAATCCTTTTCAGTTTCAAAATTCAGCGGCCTACAATAGAGTTTCAGAATTACGGATCACACCATTAATCAACTAATTACAGAAATTAACGGAGTTGCTTTATACTTATTTTGTCAAACGGTCGAATACTAATTTCTATTTCTGTTTACTTCTTTACTCAATCGTCTCAGGCTGCTCACATGTTTTGCCACTTATAGCGAACTAACTTCTATTCTCGAAATGTACAAGCTTTAAGTTTAACATACCTATTATTGTAGATGCTGCCGTTAACCTCGTTTATACTGAATGTAAGGGTGGGATCTTCCATCGAGTACTTGATCTCGGCATTTACTCCGGTGTCCCTAGAGTAGGAATAGAAGGAAACAGGTTGTTTCTAGAAGTTTTACTAAGTTTTGGCAATGTTTAATGAACGACCCCTTTCCGTTGTCACGGTTGACATATTCAAATAGGTCCCTGTCATTGTGAGCTTCAGCTGTGGCACGAAAGTAGGAGGTTTTAACCTTGATAGAAGAAAAAATAAGAAAATAAGAAAGTGGTACTGAATTTCTGCTCCATAATAATGTGTACTAAACACCGTATCATTACCTGTCGGTGGCGTTCACCTGGCCTACAAGAGCTGCAGAAACACCTTCAGGCACCACGAACTTGTATATACTTTCAGTAAACTGTGGGACCTCGTCGTTAATATCTGCTATATTGACAAGCAGTGATGCCACGTTGTACTGGAAAACACAAAAGCGTCAATTGCAAAAACTGGTCAAGTATGAATATGGTGCCAGCAACTCTAGTCATTTTTCTCTTTATATAAATACTGGATTTTATATATATGTAAACGTGTGTGTCTGTGTGTCTTACGAACCAAATCTCCACTATCCGAGGCCTTTAACGTAAGGTTATAACTATCCTTGCTCTCTCTGTCGAGTCGGCCGACCACAAATACGGTCCCTGTCTCCTGATCTACGGAGAAACTGCCTCCGAAGTTTCCATCGACGATTGAATAGTAGACGACTCCGCGTTCGGGATCGCTTGCTTTCACAGTTGTTACAGGTACACCAACAGGCGAACCTTCAGCCACCTATGGGAAACAAGTGTTATCATCATATCTATAAAAACATTCTGGCGTACCGGCCTCATGACAACGTATTAAAAAATATATGCAATCTTTGAAATTGACTTTTTCATAGATAATTAACAAAAATATCAGCAATAATCTTATTATTTACTTTTAATTCAATATATTACAATGTTAATGTTTTTTTTGATTAGGATATCAGCTGGTCATATGCTCGATAGGAAAGGAATTATTTTTGGGTGATCGGGTTTTTGAATTCCAGCTCTCCAATAGGTGCTTAATAAAGTCCTTTTCTGAGTACTAACAGCATGAATATAACGGAGTGTGTGACAAACCTCTGCATAGTATTCATCTTGCGTGAAAATGGGCCCTCCAAGATTCGGCCCGGGTATCACCATCACCTCGATAATGCCTTGTGTATAAAGCCCGCCGCCATCCGTCGCCTGAACTGTGATTGAGAACTGCTCGCCTGCGTCAACAGGAGTCATCACACGGAGTTCCCCAGTCTCCGGATCTATCGCAAAGCGTTCCGCACCGTTATTGCTAATGTGATAAATTGAGTATGCTACTCGTGCATTGTCACCTTCGTCATTATCGGAAGCTTCGACCTGAAAATGTAAAAACAACAAATTACAAATCAACTACACTTGTTTCGAACTACTGCGTCTGGACGTCGCTTTCACTGGCTAATAATGAGTCATTGAAAGCCTATATATACCTCTATGATGATGCTTATACTTTCACAGTTCAGATCAGGAACAGGAGACGATTTACAATCTGTGTGGTACTATTGGTACGTAAATTGGGGTGTCTGACCTTCATGACAGTACGAATTCCATCACCGCTTTCAAGTGTAACTGGGTTGATCAGCGGCAGGACAGGCGAGTTGTCATTGACATCATTAAGATGAACACGTAGTTGAATTGGACGTGAAAGGCCGCGGCCTTCTGGAGTTCCAACCTCTTTGGCTTGAACCTTCAAAATGTGCATAAGTAAACGCATAAGTAGTTAACCAACTACATCGAAGGTAAACATATTGGTGATATGCGTATTTAGCTAATTTGAATAGATTGCTTTTGAAAATATGTCTTGTAGGTATAAATGGTATGATAAGCACTTCTGAAATGAACCTCCTGTTGGATATCTAGTGCAGATGAATGTGAGCATACTTCGAATTCGTAGACATTTGGGTTCGGCGAATCTCGATCGAGTTGAGGCTCTCCAACTACCAGGAACCCTTCCGCGTCAACCTTGAAAACTATTGTTGATACCGCGAAAGAGTAATACTGCTCTTTTTCGGACTGAAAGTGTTATTGATCCTACATTAGAGTCGCGACCTTCATTCCAAGAAAGCTATTTGTGTTCTATGCCGGTGTCATTGAACCTTGAAGCTGACATCAAGATACTCTATGAACTACAACAGATGAGACGTCTATTCATTACGTGCAGAAAGCACCCTAAGGACAGATTCGTTGCTCTCTCGAATCTGCTTCACCAACTACAATATTGTTCTGATCATGCAAACGTAATCACACAACTTGGTCTCGCTTAGGTTGATGCCGAGTACCGAATATTTTCTTCATCCGCTCTATGTATTAGTTACTCACATAATCTTCATCGGTGACCTGAAACATGATTGGGTCTCCCCCACGAGGTGAGGACATAACACGGGTGCCAACCGGCGAGGTTTCGTCAACGTATCCTTCAAAAACGTTGGCCGACAACACTGGCGGGTGGAGATCGGCGACGAGTACTTCCACCGTAAGTGAGGCCAGGGCAAAGCGACGATATTCCGACTGTTCCTCGGCTTTGACAGTAATACTGTAATGTGTGGTGACGGCTCTCGAGGCTGGTGCGATCTGACTGACGATACCGGTTGTAATGTTAATTTCAAAAATACTTCGAAAATCTGATGGCGTTCCATCCACGAACGAGTATTGGATGGGATGGTCCATTGAGTCTTGATCCCGTGCGTAGATCGTGTCCGGTCGCAGCTTCAGCGCCCCTTCAATCGCCCCACTAGCCACTTCTCCGCGATACTGAACACCTTCACAAACACCATTTAGGTTGTGAGCCGTACAGCCCGGGTAGAAGAACATTGGCGGAAGATCGTCGGCGTCCTCGATGTTAATCGTAAGTGTGGTTGTTGAAGTTTGTCGATCCTCAATATTTACTGCCTTGTCGACAGCAATCACTCGCAAGTAATAGACCTAACAGTGGAATGAAATTTTTGGAAATACATAAAAGGCATACTTCGGATTAAATTCCCAGCTGTAAATGCTACGTTTTTCAGTAAAAGCGTAATTGAATGAACGAAATTTTAGCTCAGCCATTTGTTTCGCGCACAAAAGCCACGTGAATTTATTCTTTCCCGTCAGTTTGATACGCTACGTAGGTGTTGTTTGTTAAAAATTTAGCGTGGAATAAGTAAATATCCTAAAATGAATTTCGTCTCTAGGCTAACGCACCTGTGCACGCTCGTAGTCGAGGGGCCGTTTGATCGTAACAATTCCCTGGTGAGGTGAATCAACGCTGAAAAAATGCGCCGCGTCATTGGAGTCGGCCTCGTCCCCCTTTTCAGTGCCCTCAACGAAATATTCCACAAGTCCATTGACGCCCGCATCGAGATCCGTAGCTGTGAAATTTGCAAATACCATTGTACCAACGGGGGCCTCTTCCGAAACGGACGTTGTGTAATTCTTGCTACTAAAAACTGGCGCGTTGTCGTTAATGTCGTTGACGCGTACCAGCACTTGAATAACCTTCTTTCGGGATCCATTTTTGGCTGCGCATCGTAGTTGAACTCGAACCGATGAGAGGTCCTCCGCCTGTGTCGATACATTCGCAATATTTATATCTTTGTGACAGAGACAAGGACAAAGACACGATATACTCAACAACAAATCGTTCGAAATTTTTAGTTGACAGTTTCACCGGTAAAAAAACGGAAGAGGGGTAATGCGTATAGGATGTCACGGTACTTCAAACTTAAGTCTTAATTCGAAATAAATGTGCATCAAGTGAATCGAGTTCTGTCTAATGAATGTTTTTAAGCGACCAAAAGGTCAACTAAGGCCATGCTGATCTTAATGGTAACTCTATGAGGATCGTGAAGAACTTACGTCTCGATCGAGAGGCTTTTGAAGTACTAGTTGTTCGCCAAGAACTGCGAAAGCATCTTTCGAAGAGGATATTACACTTATCTCAATTTCGTCGCCTTTTCCTTCTATCGGTAGATATACAGGGCTTGTCTTCTGATTAAACTCTGCAACGTGAAAAGGACACAGCCACCGTTCAACTATCTTGTACTTTCGGTACGCTGATGTGGCCAAACACCCTCCCTATACAAATAGATGTCTATAGTAAATAGGAAAAGAAGGGTAATGTGAAGTTTTGGAAAACGGACATGCTATTCGTCGTACAAATGTGAGCACATATACAAAATAATTGTTGCATCTTATTTCGTATCGTAATATTTAAAGGAGAAACATGTTTAGCCTAAAACTGAAATAGATCGGACTTACGTTGTCCTTGGCTCTCAAGGATATCCATAATGATAACCTTTTCATTGTCGTGAATATCGCACACTGAAATGAGCAGACGACACAGGATACATTTTCAACGTTGTAATATACGTGGTTACATTAAAATTAGAATCGGGATGGACTCTGAATAATACGATGTATGTAAGTAGGTCGTGATGTTATTTATTGACGAATATATGCTATGTCCTTTTAGATGAAACCAATAACAGAAACCGGAATTAATCGAGCAAACTTGATTCGTTCCTTTTCCATTGGTCACAAATACTATCACAACCGTTTCAAAACTCACTCATTCGTAGAAAATCTGATATGAAGTCATCACTGCAAACGTTAGTTTCCTAATATATCGTTTTGTACGAAACGTAAAATTTCCAGCAGACGAAATTACACACGAAATTTAATCGAACACAAGTCACTAACACATTAACATGTGTCAATAAACGAGTGTATAGCTTCCGTCCTACTATTCAAAGCTCAGTATAAATTACTATTACCAAAAATCACATTGTGACGATATGCTTTCACATTATATGGTACGCACATCTTAGTCGTGACAATATGACACGTACCATCGACACACTAGATCAACGGACGATACGCGTAATGTTTGTCTAGAAGACTGAACTTTCTGTTTCATGACTGCCACCTTGATATATTTAAGCATGCGGTATCAGCTTGAGAGCCATCATGCCACATACACAGATAATGGCCATTTGCTGCCACGAGTAGTTGTATTCCCATCATTGGCAACGTACAGCCCTCTGATTCATCCCTGTTATCGATTTATCGACGCCGTTGTTATGATTGATACGGTAGCAGTTGTCGTTCAGTATGTCGGCTCTGAACATCGTCTGAGGAAAATAAGTCTGATTAAGCATTCCCGTAACTCAGTAGACCATACTGAATTCTACTCAATTCTACAGATTATAGTAAAGCTATGATAACAATCACAGGTCAAGAGTAATGAAAGGCGACAGAGAAGGATGCAGCAGCCTTGAAAAATCTACATAGGATGCTAGACGTTGCCAAACGAAGCTAGGAAAGTCTCCATCAAAGTAGACATTTGCCGGTACAGGACATCACATCGCTGTAATATGACAACATAAGTGCGTTCCGCACAATGGATACGTTTATAACGTTCTCTTTAACATTTATACGTAATCTGTATGGATATGTATCTGTATGGAAATATAGAATTCTATCGAGAACGGATCAATCGGAATCGTAAGTGTGTTTAGCTATACAAACCGGGCTTATATATATATATATAATATAAAAAAATAAATTGTGTGTCTCCGCTTAGCCTGTCGAACGCTCCTCTGGTCGATCTATAACGCTGAGGCGGACATAATTATAGGAGAAAAGCACACACGCTAGAACGAATCAACAGAAATACACTCTTTGAAGGTTATTTCCTCTGAGATATAAGCTACTAATAGTTTTCAGTAGAGTACGCAGTATTTAGTAAACATATAAGATGAACCTTTCTCATCCAGTGACTCGTTCCTACGAAAACAACGATGATCGCCTCCGGTAAAATACCAAGGCCCCATCAGAGGCAAGAGTTGACGGCAACCGTTAAAACTCCTCCGCATTAGTCCCGACCCGTTTTCAGAATAACAGATGAATTCTGCGGTACGAAGCAGAGCGATGAGAGCACGAATTTTTGTCTAGCAAGTGAGGGCAGCGGTAGGTGGTAGTTTTGCCAACTCACTAATCAGTGAGCTGCGTGCATTTCCGGACGATGCTATGTCAAATCAAATGTCAACCACGGAAGGAGCTATAATTGGCAAAACATCAATAAGTAATCGTTGAGAATAGAAGACTGACAGAAGCTGCAGCTGACATTAATAACCCACAATTTAAATGATAAGAAATAACAGAAAATGATTCTGTGAACGTTGTGCATACCAGTCGGTGATCAGTGTATAATCGAGCTACTGCAGTTAGACTACCTTTCTAGACCGTTTTTATGCACTTGGCGTCTCAATCTTCACGATTTAGAATCTGTAATGTACTTCACCGTAAGCAGATTATTGAACTGCGCCCAAATACTCAAGATCTCTATGCCCGCCCTGTCAGGTCATAAAGAATCGCTCACTGTCAACGTGCCAGACCTTTCATTTTGAGCCAAAAAAGATCGTCCTTTCTCGATAAGCGTCTGTCTCGTATATTTTTAATGAATCTGAGTGCTGATCGGGGCCATAGTAGCGTGCACGTTCGTACGTAACTCCGCTACGTTGGTAGCAGCAATCGCCCTACTATAGTCGCATTGCAGTAGCGGAAAAAGTACGCCCCACTAGCGTATCAAGGAAAGACACCACCGAATTTCGATCTTGCTAAAAACATTTTGCTTTCGATTCTCATCGCACATAAACGCACGCACACATATGGCACATAAGCAGAAAAAAAAAAACAAACGAAAGAACAACAACGATGGACCTCAGCTGCTTGCGACTTGATTGGCCCCGCCGAATGCTAGCATTCTCGTCACTCCGAGCATCGATGTCTATGCACTCGGTAACAAGCAATATTGAAAACATCACAAAACGGTTCATTTACTGTTCCACTGCAATCGTATTCCTCTTCAGTGTACTACTATATATGTACGTATGTATAAATATATATTTATACAAAGGCTGACGGTTTTCAAACCGGCGTCACCTCGGTAAAGCACAGCATTAGCAACAACAGCACGAGAACAAGCACGGAAATGAGGCTCGCAAGTAAGCAGCTATGCTAGTTTATTATTATCTCGTTGTTATCGCTATTGCTGTCTTTGTTCGTGCCATTGTTTTCGCCATCGCAGCTAGCGTCTCTATAGAGTACCAATGTTGCCGACAACGGTCTTTTTTTTTATGGGATACTATTGTATCCCATATATCACATATACGAAAGCTGTTACTTGGCGTAATGCAAATATGGCGTTCATTCTTCAACGGACAAAACTGCATTCTCGCCCGTAATCGTCGTCAGCCATCAGCCTTTTATATATATATATATAGACCACACTGGTACGAGGAGAGCAGTAATCGTGATCACTGATGTATAGCAGTAGCGACATAATTGTGTTAATACCAAAATACGAGAGGAGCATTTATTGTGTTTCCAACGAAACTTTATTGTCACTCCTCGTGTAACGGCACAGATCGTGATTTAATCTTTCGATCACAGTTGTATCGTTTTGCTGAACTGTTTGCTCTACCGACTCCCTATCCCCGACGGCTGGATCCCCATTTTGATATTCCACTACCAGTTAGAATTGTACCTCCACCTTTATCGAGTCAAATTGTAGTATTCAAAAAAAAACGGAGGATAGCTAATCAGTGATATATAGGCACTTACTCATTCTACCACCTAACTATGTAGATGGTGACATGGCGTTTTTTTTGTATCTAATCGGCCATTTCGATTTATGTACCCTAAATAAATGTGGCAGCGTAATGTAAAACATCATATTTTTGTCCGTTTTTATGGTTTGTCACATTTTATATATACACACTCGTTTTGTTAAAGGAAGCATGGTTAGTTGGACGTTGCTGCCCGTGGGCTTTATGTGCCTGCAGTGAACAACACGCTCACAACAACACCAATTGTTGCCGAGCTGAAAAGTAACACTGGGGATTCTGTGCAGGATATCCGTCAACCTGACAGCCTACGTCGGAAACGTACCACCTTTGTACGTCGTAGATACTAAAATTGTACAATAGGCTTTAAAGTGAAATAATATTCATTGAAAGCACAGAGGTATCCTTGTTTTTCATCGGCTGCGTTGACAATAGAGAATGTATTTGAGATTTTAGTATAAAAGTTTCTTACTTATATTTTGAGGGGGCTTTCAGCCAAAAACATTGCGTCGACGAACGCTGGTTGATTGTAGCTATTGAGACCCGTTTTACTTATCCATGGGGACGTCGTTAACATCTTTCGTAAGAACAAAGGGCTTGTTGAAACTGGGAACCCACAGGTTGCACAATATAGCTCAATTACACGATGCTTTTTTCAAGTAGCTGTGAATAAATTTTGCTGCTAACTGAGTCATTAAGACTATTTCCGAGCCGCTGGAAACGATAACTCATCTGCAGAAAATTGTCCATGAAAGAACCCTATGGAAACGGTTGACAGCTTGCGACCTACTAATAGTAACCAAAAAAAACGCTCCAGCGTTATAGAGATATATATAAACCAATATAATACCAAATATTACTTTTTTTTTTTTTTTTTCGTACTAAACGAATACGGGTTTCCGCTACTCGCAAATGGCACCTAGAGTTAACTTTAGAGATGGGTGGTTTATAAAGCGTGTTACGTAGCGAACAGGACGCAACTCGGTGTGTCTCGTATATTGACGGTCCTAGTGTAACTAGTTGTTGGTTGCTTTCTAGCCTGTTCCAGAACGGTGCGTCCGTAAGACAGCCCACGATAGAAACCGGCCACTGTCGAAACGCGTTACTGCCGCCTCATCGATATACGGATACATGGTAAGAGGGAGTGCGTACACGAAATGGGTGAGTGTTTGCAGATCCGCTAATGTTTAGATAGCTGCATAATTTCAAGATGTCAAAATAAGGCACAGGGCCTTTCAAACATTTTGATCCTCACACACTTTTTTGAAAAGCTTAGACTACCTCTCTAACCCAACGCATTGTCTCATTTATCAGTTAATTATGAAACACTATTTAACTAAATAGAAATTTCACTTACACGCGGCAAATGTGGTTGAGATATAATACAATAACACGAGAAGGCCGATAGCGGCCCACGTTGGCGGCCGGTGGCCCATTTTCGATATCGCCACCTCAGCAGAGCTGTGACGAGCTGCTGCTGTTGCTGCTGAAAATAAGGGAAAAAAAACGAATTTCAATGTAAAAACAGATAATCCTTCTGACTACTCTACACGTAACTAATTTACGGACGTCGCTTTTTTTGTACGTAAGCTCTGGGCTACATGCTGTTTAATGTTGAAAAAGCAATTTCATACACGATAGAGCCAATCTTTCGAACATAGATTTTCCAGGTGTCAGCCAGGTTTTCACTGGTCCCCTTGCCTTATATCCAAATAATTCCTCTAGCGAATCGCGGTGGGCCTTTAGCATATGTTAGTAAAGCCACGGTTACTTGAGGCTTGGAGATAAATACAATATGCTAAGTAAGTTGTAATTGAATAAGTTACCGAACGCATACACTGCTAATACACGACCATTTAATAAAGCAGTATTCAAAAGAGACTTGAGTTATTCTGAACAACTTATATAAAGCAAAGTGCAAACTTAAGTAAATATACTACGCAAGAGCTTATACACGCATCTTGTTGCGAGCATCGTATCAAATTTTCATGATTGGTTGACTATGGGTTAAACAAGCAATGAAAATGCCATTGTCAATACCCCCATCTGATTCGATCGAACTCTGTTGCAGTTGTCTGCCCTGCTTGTATTCGTCCATAGTAATGGATAATGCTCCGCTTTGTTTTTATCTCTATATATGTTTATCACCGCCAGAAACTGCTGTAAATCCTCTAAGCAAAGGAGATACAATCTGGCGACTCTTTTGATCCGTCGGTGATCTAGACGTAAATCGCCCAGCATTCGATATGCTGTTCCGTTATGTGACGATTACCGGTTCGATATCAAACCCATTTCAGCGTCGCTAGTTGTGTAGTACTAGCGCTAGATATGGCCTTTAGATGCCGTACGGAGCAGGCGAAGGCCGCGACGCGTCTAACCTACCGCCACCAGTATGATCACTGACGCCGATTGACTTCGCTGTCATTTCGCGATGAGATTATCCCCTCTTCGTATCCTACAACGATTTTCATTTATACGGGTAAAACGAACAACACAAACCAGCAATAGCCAGAAAATGGAAGATGATGTGTCAAGGTCTTCTGTTTATCGAGGCCATTTGCACTCCTTTGATTCTAAGTCACCATCCGCCTCTTCATTGCTATCGGGCGAAGTATTAGTCGATGCTGCTGCTGCTGCTGCTGCTGTGATCACTAACAGGCCGCAAGTAAAGGCCACTTGTACAAGGTGGTTAGCTGAATAGGTGCTCTGTTGTTGTAAAAATCGATAAATGCACAGAAGCTATCGTTGTGTCAGAAATGAGTGCACAGCAGTATTGTCGCACGTTTATCACTAATTTCTGGTTGATCGAGACCGACTCACTAAGCGAGGACCATGTTTCGTAAAGCGTCCGAAATGCTGAGAGGCAACGAAATAAGCAAGAATAATGAATATCACGAATTCTCTTTTTTTTTTCGGATAGATCTAACCAGATACAAGTATAGATATGGGGAGGCTATTTGAAAGCTGCATGATAGATTGATTTTTGCAAGATCATTTTTTCTACATGCTCGTCCAGAATTTCTAGCTTCTGCAGGCTTTTGGAAGGCGACCGCATCAGGAACGCAACGGATGATCACCGATCTTCTGCTAGCCACCTATCATTTAGTTCAATGATTACTGCTATGAACGACGACTACCTTTTCATAGTTGCTTGTTTGTATCGAAACCTGAAAGTAATGTTTCATCTGGTCAGTGGCTGTATTGTGCTGCCAGCGATAAGTGTGCATGTCATGCGCCGTGTAACTGACGATAGTCTGCTAAGCTTACACAAAAAATCTACGTGCAGTTCAAGGTAAAGGTGCACGCCGCTGTCATATTCAGACCGCAGTGTCTTCTTCAAACAGCGATCCAATAAGAGCGTTCATGGGAAGTCTCAATGATAACCCGCAAAGGAAACCGGTCCGCAACCGCTTGTGATATTCCAGTATGGAAAACTAGAACAAGATAACTGTTTGGTACGCCATTGTATTGACTGCACTGCTATTCCCTGCCCACACCTATTTTGATTGTTCGATAGTTTCCCTTCAAATTCCCAGAAAAGATTCTTACAAATATTTACAAAAACGTACAAAAAAATACGTATAGGCAGCGTAAATATGAATCAACTTGACTAACTTAACGTTACATATTATACAATGGAGAACTGTATCGCTAGTCATACAAGTTCATTATTCAACGACGACTATTGCCTAAAAGCGAATCTTGGATAGAAATAGAAAAAGTGTTGGTGTACCATCAAGTATAATGTATGTTTACACACAAGCTGGGTACGTTCGAGCGGCTTCGTTTACCTTCTGTTTATGTGGCGCGTTTAACGGAAGTCTAATAGATTGGCTTTACACAATACGCTTCATTATGTGCGTGGCGCTAAAGCGTAGCTAACCGCTGTGACTAAGCACATGGAAAAATCGTCATAGAGCAGCCTGTAGAAAGCTACAACTTTTCATTGTACATATTGGTCAATCTCCGGTAGTGTCTTTGTACTAATCAATAACTCACAGCGGTACCTAATTAAGTACAAGTATATTTAGTACTTGGTTGTATGTACGTGGGGTCGTACGCAGGTCATCAGTGGTGAACTATCAGCGGTAAATTATGCGAGCTGAAGTATGAGGAATAATGCTTTCAAAGCGCATCGCAACGCTCAAGCACTAAGTGCCGTTTGACACGCGTTGAACAAATTTGCCCCAACAAGGCAAAGTCGTCTTCTTTTGGTGTTTCTTTCGACACGACGACCTAAAGATAGCTTGAGGGAAAGGAGCGGGGTATCTTTTAACGGTTGACGTTTGAGCCCTTCACTACTGGTAGTCGATTTATGGGCAATCCCGAAATCAAATAGCTGCTTCAGATGGAGTTGTTCACTACTTTGTCGGACAGGTAACGATTTCCCACGGCTAATTTAGAGGCTCGTCGATCACTTATCGTTAGTCCATCCATTTTCTATATATCGAGTTTGCTGTAGCGTCGATACTCTGGTAGCGTTATTTTTTAGGCGCAGCCATGTCAGTGCCCTTACCATGAGGTCAGTATGTCTGCTGTACGATCGAACCGGTTGTTAGCTTGCTTTCCGTCACTTATTCATTTGACTATTTTGAATGAAGGCTACAGCGAGGGATTAGAGTTTCGAAGAGGGAACACACACATAGAAGCAGCAGAATATTACCGTGTGTCCCATCGACGGCGAAATGCCTCGTTGGTGTTGAACCGCATTGGCCAACAGACCACTGAATGGAGCAGGAGCATTACTAGTATTCGATTGTCTGGACCGATAATGCGTGAAAATGATGCCGGTCAGCCAGGCAGCTGATACGCACTCAGACAGACGGTGTGACTATTGATATCGAATGGTGGTCGTCGAGGTATAGTTGGGCATGCGCATTGGCGGATGTTACAAGCGAATACGGCTTGACATCGGCTTCGAGTGTTATCGGGTGTCGTCCACCGTCGGCATCATCGGCCGTTGGACGAACAGACAAAAGGGTTGAAATGCAGGCCAGTCTTATAGCTCTTAATTCCTTCGTCGTATATCCTTTGCTCATGGCACAGCATTCATCGCCGGTTCACTATACGTGGCTATCCGAACGAGAAGCTCTGTATGCTTTCAGTTGCTTCCTTGTTCCCTTTTACTGAGCTATTGTTCTCGCTGTGAACTAGACAGTTTTATTTCACTTCGGCAAATCTGTCCATGAACGTGCATTTGGACAATACTCATTGGGCTCTGCCGGGTTGCTTCGTTCGAGTACGGCTACTAGGAGCAGACATCGACTCAACGATTTTTTTAAACTTTCGCGGGAAATGTTTGTGTTATGTTAGCGGTGCAAACAGAGGTGGAAATATTATTTCGCCCAGAACTACATATGTATATAAAACTAACGTATATACTATGCAGAGGTCGTTTACATCGATCGGCGAATTTTTGAGCGTAACACATTGTGTATAGTTGATCGTCTGGAACCTGTCGCAGAAAGTAAAGCGACCGTTTTGGTTGAATGGCCCTTATTTGTACATAAACAAACGAAATATATGCTCTGATTTAAACTTGTTTTACCCTACATGATATTGTACACTCTACATGTATTGATATTTTTATCAAAATGGCTCTATCTCATCGTGGGCTAACAGAAACAATAACGGTTATATCGGTCCTGAGAATCATGAGCAACAGGCGTCCTATTGATAGCAAAATCGTGGAGATCCGTCGTATGACTCATTCGGACAAAGGCGGAACATTTGGCACGCTGCATGTTACGTTAAATCATCAAGAAATATCTTAACACACTAAGCAGTCTTCAGACCACTGCATAAGGGATCCAAGGTGAGGTCACTACTATGCAGCCCGATCATTTCTCAGACCGACCAAGTTACAAATAACCTATACTGTGTCTGGTACTACTAGCCCAAGATGCTCACATTTAATGGTTTCATGTTCTCGACCATCAGCGTCGTCATTATGTCAACAATGGCATCAGCCTGCCATCTTGAACAAAATCAGCAGCCAAACCACCCCTTCTACCAGTTCAAGTGTCCGGTGGTATTGACAGGTCCACGTATTGCAATCACATAATAAACGCTGGCGCACCACCAAAACGGCCGTTGCAACCGAACTAAACTGGGCCCGCAAATAAACAAACGTGTTCTTGAGAGTTGTTCCTTGCTTCACTGGAACTGCTCCAGTTCTGTAGTATAAAAGGCTACATACGGAAGAATGAATTAAAATGGTATCTGGAATTGGCCCCGCATCAGGTCAACACTGGCCGATAGAAACTTTGGTCGGGTTGCACCTAAATATTTGTGTGGAAGCACGTGGAATTTAGCTATCACGTCGACGATCGGCGTTAGCTGACCAAGAACGGAAGTCGGGTTAGTTTGTTTTAAGTGACCAAGATGCGTAATAGCAAGGTTAACTTGGCGTCAATATTTACGCGACCTTATCGCTATCGTAGACAAGGGCATCCCATCGTCGGGTAGATTTCTGGCAGTCTCCCA